TTAAATTTGACCTCTGTATCTCGAACATAGGAACGATTTATTTTACAACCTTTACAACTTGATCATTTGGAATTTATTATCTCTATTGTTCGAACAAAAATTAGTTACCGACTTTAAGAACTTGCCGACAATGTGAGTACACTATTGTTTCTTAGAAAACATTTTAGGAGTATACAATAATAAATTTATGATTCATGGAAACACGTGTTTGCTTGCTTTGTGTCAGGTGTTCAATTTTGATTCCCTTTGAAATTTAGCTAAGCCAGTCATTTGTTTTCGACTTAAATACTGTCAGAAGTAGTTTGGCTCAAAATTTATAAGAATAAACCTCAAACTCTTTATGTCGAATCAAAATCCGCCTAAGTCGAAATCCTCCATAAGTTGAAAACTCTATAACTCGAATTTTTCGCGTCTCCCTTGATGTTCGACTTATAGAGGTTCTACTGTAATTATTGTTACAGTACCATTATTATGAATAATTTCCATTTAATATATATTTAATAATGATAAAATTTGTACCACGTAATTAAGTCAAAAATATAGTTACAATTAAAGAATAAAGCCTAGTAAAAAATATAGAAGTTCATAAAAAATACCTGATGATGATGCTGGTAGATTTGAAGAAGTTGATGATTCACTTGTGCGATATTTTTTCATCACAGCAAGAAAGTTTTTATAACATTTTACATGGTAACCAGTATTTGCGTTAATTTCCTCTGGCAAAGAAATGTCTTTAAATTTTAAATTATTGTCTTTTCTTATTTTCAATATTGATTTACTTTTATTCAACGTAGTCTCTGTAAATCGTACAGTTTTTTTGTCAGTGTCTTCGTTACAAATCACACAAACCACGTGTTCCAATTCCATCTTGCACACTATTTACTGAAATGTTAATATTAAGTACAACAATACACAATATCACTGCACAATTGATAATAATATAAAGTTAGATTTTTTAAAAATTCGAATTCACTCAACATAAGAAATGTTATAGCTCAAAGCATCTTCACAAGTAAAAATCATTGGCACAACTGACGAAATTCTTCTCTGTACATTGTTGCTCGAGAGCAGGTATACGTCCCTTCGTATTAGATAAACGGTCTCACTCGCACTATAGGCATTCACGCAACACCTCTCACTCGCACTCCCTTAGCAGCTGTCCCCTCGCCTGTCAAGGTCTTATGCTGTTCAAAACCGCCTGGCATTGTACATATTTACTCTGAGACGTTTACTTGAAAACATATAAAAATTTTAAGTATACAGGATAAAGTTTATTTTAACTCATCAACTGTACGTTTTCTAATTGATCTGTCATATACTTCTGCTTATTGTAATCGCCTGTCAATTTTTTTTTAAGATGTACAATAAATAAACTTTATCCTATAAAATTTTCAAATTTACAGAAACAAGTTTTGAAACTCAATTTACTTAACAGTCCAAAAAAAAGGGGCTGATGACGTGCAGGGCTGACGCCTGCCAGGTCATGGCTATTGCTCTTAGCATGTCATAAATCGTAAGTATACAAATTTCTAACCTTACAGGGAGACCGTTACTCCCAGGGTTCACTAGCTCTTGGACCATTTTGACATCACAGAGATAACAAACCTTTTTGGCCGGGCACATTTTTCAATTTCAATACGAGTCTATACATACATTTTATTTGTTAGTGAATGTATCCATTTTCTTATGTGCGGTGCTCAACATTAAAAGTAGTTTTACGGCGAGTGATAATTACGTCCCTTTTCATCACAAACAGTAATTTCATCAGAAAACATTTTTTTTAATGGTTTACTAAACCTGGAATTAGTAGGCAGTGATGCCAGCTAAAGAATAAAATAAGGTAATTAAAGTTAATTCGATATATTGTTCGTGATATTGAAATATTTGTTATTTTTGTTTTAGGTCACTTTAGTAAGTAAATATTAAGATTTACCGTTTTGAAGGTAAAACATAAAAAATACATAGCATTTTATTTTATTGCCCTAATATGGGTCAAATTTGTCCCTTTTTCGGTGGAGAACTTTTTTAGTAGCAACGTTTATGAAATGTCAGAATTCTGCGGAATGAAAAATCAGAGTTTAGTATCTTATTAGTTACAAACATACAAAAATACTACTAGTTAGTATACATACCACCGATTGTAATATAGATTAATAAAAGCTAATTTAATAATGGTTATAATGACCGTATATTATGCATACATTGTGTTGTAAATATTAATAAATATAATTTATTTTAGAAATGTTTTTTATTAGGTAAAAAAATATATCAAAGAGCAGTGTTGGCCTAGTGGCTTCAGCGTGCGACTCTCATACCTGAGGTCGTAGGTTCAATCCCCGGCTGTGCACCAATGGACTTTCTTTCTATGTGCGCATTTAACATTTGCTCATGAAGGAAAACATCAGTGTGTCAGGCACTGGACACTGATCACCTACTTGCCTATTAAAAATGATCATGAAACAGATTCAGAAATATGAGGCCAAGACCTAAAGAGGTTGTAGTGCCACTGATTTATTTATTTTATGAAAAATATCAAAAACGGTTTTGGTAGCAATTTTTAATGCAATTTTATAAGTATTTAACTTATGGCGCGTCTAAACGGGCCATGTTTTGCTGCAATTGATGGCTGCAACACTGTGGCCGGCAACATTGCAAACAATAGCAGCCACACTATGCAATATTGCAGTAATGTCCCGGCCATATAGCCAAACATGTTTTGTATAGCCACATATGGCCGATGTTGCCCCGATAGGTGGCCGGACGATCGCTAGGCTATCGAATTCAACTGCAATATTGCACGGCCAGTTCTCTTGTTGTTTCAGTCACTCTCTTTGTTATGGCATAGTGTATCCTTTTCTACGCGACATGACGTTTGCTTTGAGTGAAGTGTGCCTGTTGCTTTATTCTGTGTTTTGCGATCAGCTGTATTTGACGTTAGATTACTACGTAAAAATTACTACTTTTGACATTCTAGTTCTTGAATAATTTATTATCAAGACTTATTTCTAGACTCAAATTGTCTACAGTTTCACACCTATTTAAGTAAGGTCGAATCCACAATCTCTTCTTTTTCTGTTTCTTTTTTAAAACAATATAAGCTGCTGCGACAAGTGTGATTTCGTCAGCCATTGTTGCCGGTTTGTGTAGCCCGTTTAGGAGTCTGCATCATGGGCCATACTATTGCAACACATTGCCCAGCCATAGATTGTTCGGCCATCAGCTGCATTAAAATATTTTTGTAATGGCCGGGCAATTAGTGGCCAACAGTGCAGCCATCAATTGCAGCAAAACATGGCCCGTTTAGACGCGCCAATATATCAATTATATGATAAAAATTTATATCTACATATATCCATTTATATACACTGTTAAGAAAAGCATATCACGTTATACAAATACCGTGTTATAAGCGTGTTTACTGTACGTAAAATCAAAGAAATAGTCGTTACGGAATACGTAGCAATAAAAAGAAAAAATAGTGCGTGGAGGGACCGCGCAGACGAAGTGAAACATCGTAATGTGGAAATGAAAATAGAAATTGAGGTTTAGTAAAATCATATTGTTTCCTTAAGACAAACTTTATTACCATTGCTTACAATTGAAATATTGAAAGTCCGTACTCACATACACACATACGGTATTACTCGATCGAGCTTAACTATCGAGTAAAACCCATATCATGGGCTTTCGTCCACACATTGAGCATTGATCTATCGAATGAGGCGCGCCGTTCAGTATTCACCGAACCGTTCGAGCCAAAGGATGTCTGTGCAACAAAGGAGACGGTGGCTGTATTTAGCAAGTCTCACAGTGCTTTATAAGAAAATGAAAAGAAAAAACGTAAAAGGAGGTACTGGGTTAAACATTCGTTAGATCGCCGTTCTGATTACAGCCACGTGAACTTGATTGAAGAGCTACGAGTATGTCCTGAAGATTATAATAATTATTTAAGAATGCCTCCAGAGCTATTGAAGAATTACTTTCTTTGATTACCCCATAAACAATACCAGACTGACGCTCGCCTCGCGCCACTCGCAGTCACGTACACACGTTCGAGTCAAGATTGACGGCTCGCTTCGAGTAGGTTCGAAGGAAATCACTTTCATTTAATTCCATCGAGCCGGCTCGGTGCGAGCCTTCGAGCTGTGAGTTTTGCGGTCCACACGTTGATTTTTACTCGACTTCGAGTAAAACTATCGAGTAATACCGTATGTGAGTACTGACCTTTATAAATTAAAATAGAACAACAAGTACGTATTTCAGCTAATTTCACGACGCTCACAATGTTTACATCGCGACAGACCAAGAATACCACGCGCATGCGCTTTCTCTCTCCTACTTTCTACCTTTGTGTATCTTTCTTTCTCTCTCCCTCTTGCGTTGGAATATTCAACGCTTGCGTTGGCCTGTAACAGGTATACTACGCGCTTGCGTTTGAGTGCCACGCGTTCACTCTCGCTCTGTCTCTTTCTATTCCCCCTCCCCAGGAGAGTTAAACTTTTAACGCAACCTTGTTGGAAGTCGTAGGAGTTTCACTTCAAAAACATCGTTCGAACAGAATACCATAGCTTCGTTACGTAAACGTCAAAGTCAATTTTATATGCGTTCCAGCTGTCAATGTCATTTACAATTCGAAAATTACACGAATGAGTTATATAATGTTGGCTGCTCCAGCTTTACGATCGCCACTTTACAACTTTTATAATAAATAGACCCATATGAATAAATTGGATTTATTTAATACGCAAACGACGTATATCCGAGGTTTACATTCATAAAGATATTTAGTCCTTTAGGGTAAGATTAAGAATATGATGTTACATATTTCCTTATAAAAAATCCAAATCTTTAGACCACATTTATTAAAGTCAAAACAGATATTATGGAAACATTTTAAATTAATCTAATGATTAAAGTATGGGAATGCAAGTATACTACAAACATTAACTATTTAATAAATAAAAAATCTTACACATATATTATAATTAAAAATACATAATCTAAGGTTTAAAAGTAGTCGCAATAACCGCTTCTGGCTCTGTTTCCGGTACATGGAAGAAATACAACATAAAACCAGCAGCTAGCAAGAAATGCAATGCTAAAATACATCCCACTAAAATGATAAAATATTTTGATTTCCTCAATGCTGGTAAAAGCCAGAAAATCAAAACAGCTCCAGATACAAAAGCGCCTAGAAGAACCAGGAGCCATTGGAGCCAGGACACTTGAATTGTCCACAAAATTGCCACAGGAATGTATATTGACAAGGAATAACCGTAGAGGCAGAAAAGTGACATCATAGTCGGTGATGCTGATGCCTGGAAAACCAAATAATATCTTATGAAGTCTTGTAATATGAGAGAAAGTCAAGAAGATCAATAAGAGAGAATGAGTAGTAAATACTAAATATAGATTATTAATATTGGTCAGCCTTCTTTTTGACCATGTCATAAATTATTAGGTCTTAAACATATTTATGCTAATTTCCATAGGATAATTTATTTCATAAAATGTTTACATAAGGTGGAATTGCCTGTATCCCAGAAAACAATAATTTTGTTTGACTACCAACAGACATGCAAAATAATACAATCTAATATAGAAAATTCTCGTGTCGCTGTGTTTGTAGTTAAACTCCTCCGAAACGGCTCGACAGATTCTCATGAAATTTTGTGTGCATATTGGGTATGTCTGAGAATCGGACAACATCTATTTTTCATCCCCCTAAATGTTAAGGGTATATTACATTTGCTCGAATGGTGAAGGAAAACATTCACCAAAAAAAAGGCGATGGTGTATGTCATGCTGATCACCTACGTGCCAATTAGATTTAAAAAATGATCATGCAACAGATTCAGAAATCTGAGGCCAAGACCTTAAGAGGTTGTAGCGCCACTGATTTATTTATTTTTTTAATGTTAATTGTAGTCCACCCCTAAATTATTTTTTTTATGATACAGCATTAAAAAAAAATGATGCGTGTACTTATGTACGCGCGTAAGAAGTTATACGTCTTTGGCTTTCTTTAGTTTTTTTAAATATTAAATAATTAATAATAAATATTTAGCGTTAATAATTTAACAATATTTAATATTTAGTATATTATTCAATAGAACGCAAGAGGGAGAGAGAAAGATAATTAATATTAAAAATAATTCTTATTTATTTTTTTATTATATTATTAATTCAATTTAATAACTAGGTATGTTTCATAACCTTTTAACTAAGTAACAATAGGTCTTTGTGAAAAAGCATTGCTAAATTTCTCTGAAAAAACAATTAAAACTCCTTTATTTGTTTAAAAGGTACTACAAATGTCATTACGGTCATTCAAAATTCATGGCATAGCTGCTAACGTCACGCATATTCTATTTCTTTTTACTTGTAGATTGTCTTATTCCCATCTCGCTCGCGCACGCTCGGCGCCCATACTGATAATTTTGTGTCACGGTGCGCGCGCATCGTAAAATTTCACTCTCATAAATTTTTCATAACGCGCCTAAAGAAGTATAACTTCAAAAATACATACAACCCCTAATTTTCACCCCTTTACAATCGACCCCTATTTTTTATTATACATTATAAACATGGCAAAACGACCTTTGCGATGAACTATAAAATAATATGTGTGCCTCTGGTACTTTATGATAGTTAGGGACTTTATGCAAAGACTTACTTCTAACATAGTATATTTACTACATAACAAGTACATACTTGAGTCTCAATTTGGTCTACATCAGGAGTTATAGTCCACTTAAGGGCGGCCCATAAAGCCAGAGGGACTAACCACACGTAGCATGATATTGCAGTAGCCGCATATGACATAAGGTGAAAATCATATTTCCAATGTATTGCCTTGTTTGCATTTTGCAGATAACTGGCAATGTTTCCACTGACTGCTATTGTAAATATCTGTAATTTAAAAATTACTTGATAAGTAACAGCCATAGTACTTATGATGGGCAGATTTAATAATAATCTTGTTTAAATTAATTAATTCTAAAATGAGAATGAAATAAGCAAAGCTTTTATTTATTTGAAGGTCATCAACATTATATTACTTCAATACTAAATAAAGAGCATTTTTTCCAAAGTGACTCACACCAACAAATAAATAATAACTTTTAGATAGTATAGGATTAGTATATTGTTTATAGATAAGACTATAAAACTATACAAACAATATTATATTCACTACACCTAAAATCTAAATTTTACAACTAGACATCAGTTTTTTCTGATGTAGAACAGTTGATTACTTACCAATGTCACCGAAACCCAGATAGGTCCATACAGGTCAGGTTTACCTTTGATTCTCTCATCAAAGTAGTTACGTGAAACCTTTTGAGGCAATACAGATGATATAATTCTCTCCACTACTTCATCTGTATGTACATCAAAATATTTCTGATAGTATTCTATGGTCCAGAAGTTATGGTTTCCTAAAATAACATGAATTATACTAAGATTATTATATCTACGTGTAGAATTACTCCATTATTTTGTATACTTAGTTAAATAAGTAGAGTAAGATTAAAATTTTATATTTTAAGTAAAAATTCCCTCCTATCAAGAATCTTACCACTCTTTGGAGGCGGATCATCTTCCACTACAGGTTTGGGTTCCACATAATCGTAGCTGGTGTTGGAATTATTATACTGATTTGTGTGTACAGCTTCCACGTCGATTCTAGCGCTGCGATTATGTTCAGGCGAGTAATCTTGAAAATCTAATAGCTCGCCTGTGTTTACGTTCGACATCGCGGCCAAAAGCAGTAAGCACTATACGTATTAAACTACTTTTACTTTAAAATGGAAATTTTTAAAAACAAGAAGTCGACGACAGATAGTCTTTAAAGAATTTGAGCCTCAATCAAATAAACTAATTATGGGCAATACTTAAAAAATTAAGGATATTTTTTTGATAATTCTAAATATTATGACATACACAATAAAGATAAGAGAAAGCTGACACTGACAGTGAAATGCACAGATGAATTATTTATTGGTATACTATACGAATTTACTTTAAGTGGAATGTTTTTGCTGTGCATTAGGAGGAAAAATAAGATGATAAGCAATAAAGAAATAATTTATACAGCGTCAAAAATTTAATAACAACCGTTGCTAAGGTAATATACGAAAGTTAAACGTTAAACGTCTTTTTAGTTTAACAAATTCTAGTATCTCACTACCTTCTTCTATTGGTACCTCTCCATTACTGAAGGTTCAAGGTTGGCCGTCAGTCTGGTAAAGCTTGTCCTTTAACAGATACAGCAACTCTTTCGCAGTCACAATATCCGCTCCCTAACGTTACGAAACCGTGATTTTTCCTTCTACCGTTTATCTTGAATTTAACGATTATATTAAATTGAAGGTTGAAGCGATGGTGCTAATTTTTTCGACATTCCAACACAATTGAGAGCATTCTCGTTAGAGATCTTCTGGATCCAGCCTATATGAACATGCAGCGATAAAACCACATCTCAAATTCTATCAGGACGTGAAGTTCTGCCCAATTTAACTAATTTTAACGCATGTAAAATGTCTGCTTTTAGGCTGCTGCCTCGAATTTTGCGGGCAGCGGGGTGGCGGCGGCTGCGGCGCGGGAGCGGGCGATTGCACCTCTCGTTACCCGCCCTCGCGCCGCTGCCACGCCGCTGTTTTCGAGAACCGGTCCATTTGATTTTACGCATAAGATCCTGCCGCTCCCGCGCCGCCGCCGCTGCCGCCCCGCTGCCTGCAAAATTCGAGGCAGCAGTCTTATTAAGTTTGGGTTTTTGTCATTGACAATTAACTGCATTTCGAGGTCTTTGTTGGGTCTTTTTTGATACGTATTACATCCATCTATCTTTTTTGGCCTCAATACTAAGAAGTAGCAAACCCTTTGTATAGGCCAGACAAGTTAAATTGCTCCAATTAGGTCCCAACATTTAAAAAATATTTTTGTGCACATTGAAGTTACAATATGTGTTTTCTATATTTTCACATGCCTATCTAAATATTGTAATTCGAAAAAAAAACTACATGTTACATATATATGTATTATTTAATAATTAATAACTATGATTTAAAGTAAAAATTTGTCCCATTCTTTTCATTAAATAAGAATTACTAGACCAAATACTACTACGAATGCATACATAAAAAGATTAAAAGTGTTTGGACATTTTTTAAATTATATTAAAATTTAACGTTTGTTTAATTAAAAGGCTAGGCTGTTTTTTTTATAAACAGGGACCCCTAAAACCTAGCCTATCAGACACGCAATCAGGCAGATATGTGACCGAGTGGCGAAGCAGCAGGGGAGTGTCGAATTCTCGAAGTCGAAGAAAGGGGTTCTTAAAAAGGGAAATTATTACCGTTTTAAATTAAAAGGTTGGCGTCTCCCGCCGGGCCCGGGCGACAACTACTCCGAAAATATCGTCATAGGTAATATTTGGGCGAGTCGGGGCCCGCTGCCCAGCGCTACCCGCGTTACCTCTCGTGCTATTTTTGTGAGTGACATATCTGAAAATCTTGCCGCAGAATTTTTCCAGCTGCGATCTGTGCCATCCCGGGATACCTCATGCCAGTCTCAAGCTCCAGATCGCACGTGGCCCTTTCAAAAGTCGCACAGTCAACTTGTCTATAGTCTATACTCTTCCTCACCGTTGGAGACGTAGGAACGGGTAGAGGCTGGGTGGGCTGTAAGCTCTGCTCGGGCTGCGCTTCTTGAGAAGTTGTCATTGTCTGTTTGGTAGGAGTTCTGATCCCTAACATGATAGGCCTTTGGTCTTAAAAATAAAAAATATACCTAATAATGATTTTAAAAAAAAACTGAATTTAAAATAACTAGGTAATATTTATGGGCGAGTCGGGGCCCGCTGCCCAGCGCTACCCGCGTTACCTCTCGTGCTATTTTTGTGAGTGACATATCTGAAAATCTTGCCGCAGAATTTTTCCAGCTGCGATCTGTGCCATCCCGGGATACCCTCATGCCAGTCTCAAGCTCCAGATCGCACGTGGCCCTTTCAAAAGTCGCACAGTCAACTTGTCTATAGTCTATACTCTTCCTCACCGTTGGAGACGTAGGAACGGGTAGAGGCTGGGTGGGCTGTAAGCTCTGCTCGGGCTGCGCTTCTTGAGAAGTTGTCATTGTCTGTTTGGTAGGAGTTCTGATCCCTAACATGATAGGCCTTTGGTCTTAAAAATAAAAAATATACCTAATAATGATTTAAAAAAAAAACTGAATTTAAAATAACTAGGTAATATTTATGGGCGAGTCGGGGCCCGCTGCCCAGCGCTACCCGCGTTACCTCTCGTGCTATTTTTGTGAGTGACATATCTGAAAATCTTGCCGCAGAATTTTTCCAGCTGCGATCTGTGCCATCCCGGGATACCTCATGCCAGTCTCAAGCTCCAGATCGCACGTGGCCCTTTCAAAAGTCGCACAGTCAACTTGTCTATAGTCTATACTCTTCCTCACCGTTGGAGACGTAGGAACGGGTAGCGGCTGGGTGGGCTGTAAGCTCTGCTCGGGCTGCGCTTCTTGAGAAGTTGTCATTGTCTGTTTGGTAGGAGTTCTGATCCCTAACATGATAGGCCTTTGGTCTTAAAAATAAAAAAATATACCCAATAATGATAAAAAAAACTGAATTTAAAATAACTAAATAAAATAAATAATTAGTTGCAATGATATCTAATACTAATGAGGCTAACCGGTAAAAAGGGTAAAGCTCAGTCAATAAATACTTAGACTAGTGGGGCTACCCAAAAAGGTAAGCCTCGGTCAATAAATACTAAAGATACCACTAGCTTTAGTACCCCACGGCTACCCAACAAGGTAAATCTCAGTCGTACTTATCAAAATACACTATATCGCAGTCAAGGCTAAATCACAACAGTTTAGTTATGTACCTTAATAATAGCTTAATAATAATAATAGCTTAATAATAATAATAGCTTAATAATAATAATAGCTTAATAATAAAAATAGCTTAATAATATAATAATAGCTTAGTATATCACAATCAGTTAATCTTAATCACTAACTACAATTAAGTATGTCAAATTAATTCTAATATCGCACCCACCTTCAAGCTCGGGAGCGGCGAGTCAGGAACAATAAAATAGAACTTTTTGTCCCCTAAGTGGACACTGAAATTGCGCTAGGACTCACCGTTCCCGAGCTATCCCGGTTTAGGTATTTAATCTTCCCGTCGTCCTGGAGATGTGGTTTGTGGTTAATCCAGGAAGTCCGAGGTATCCCTGAGATCATCGCGTCAGGGTCTTGAGAGTGTAGATTTATCCAGGGCTCCGTCCAACAGACTCAATAATGATTAAGTGACTTTTTGACACGGGGCTGATGAGATGTCCGTGCCGATGTGGCACCTCGTTTCAATCGCCGCTCCCTGGTTTCTTCTTCGATTTCTTTGTTATGAGTCTTAATCGATTTATATCCCGTAATACACCTCGCGTTCCCCATCCTCCACCCTTTTCTCGGAAAAATCGGGATAGTTCCTCGATTTCAGGAATTTTAGAACCAAGTGGGATATCAAAAGACGGGGCGTTAAAAGTTCTTTAGGAATATATATTAAAATATATATAGCTTTAGTTTGAAAATAAATTTTGAAAAGCTCGGTCGGTTAGTCGGTTTTTTCACTTTTTCACTACAACCTTTTAATTTTTCACAACTATTTTTACACCACTGCGTAAATCTTTTTCTTGCACATTTAACGACATATAACACACTACGCAAACTTGAATAAAACCTATTTTTAGGAATTTTTGAATTCAGAGCACAATAGTTTCGTGTAGGTACTTATGTTCCCTACCCTCTCTTGCTTTTTAGGCTAGGCTGTTAATTGAACGGCTAATAATTAAACTAGTTGGCTGCGAAATATATAAATCAGGGTGGTATAGTTATTATAATAATGTTTGTTCGTAATGAAATAGTAACAGACAGAAGAATATATATTTTTTTACTAAATTATTAATTTTAACTACGTGAATTTTACACGATGTAACATTGTTCCCAATAATTTATTACATAAAATTCGTCTACTAATATACAAAGAAATTATAGACAATTTTTTTATATATTTTATGTATATATTATTTACTAATGTCAAAATTAAAAAAATATTACGTCAAAAATGTAAACCATAGACTAATGACAGATCATAGAGTCAATAAGGAACTTCCGCTAGCGTCTTATGTCTACAGTCTTAAGTCTACTTAGCAAGTAGCAACCATTTTGCCCAAAAAATCATTCATAGTCCACTCCTTGACCGCCGTGCTGCTTTTTGGAAAAAGATTTCAAAGTGATTATTATGAACCAGAATTAGTGTTTATCTTGTACGTGCGATTGCGTTGATTGTGATCATCTATATTCTACAAACCTCACGTTTTAATTGGTAAGTTTTATGCGTGTTTTATCTCAACGCCATTTTCGTACGCTTCAAACGACAAGCCACGTTATAAAACGTAACATTATTTACAGTGATGTTCTACTGTGGATAATGGTATGGTGAATTTGGAGCTTTTACAACATGTCGAAAGAAAAGGAAATCGCGGAGGAATATGCGTCGAGTTTGGCGGATCTAACGGTGAACAGCAAGCCTTTGATAAATATGCTCACAATACTCGCAGAAGAGAATGTCGAGCATGCAGGGGTTATCGTTGACACGGTGGAGAAGCACTTGGAGAAGGTGAATTTGTATTTTTAATAACGCGTACGGCGGGCCACGAAAGCCACGGTATCACGTAATTCCGTGAAA